TGTCATTGTTGAGCCTTTTCTGCGAAATCATATCATCAGTGCCACTTGCGCGCGCACATCGAAAACGCTGAACCACCATCGCGCGCCCACCAACCCTGTCAGGTCGTACCATGCGGGCCACGTGCGCACGCTTCCGCGCGAACAGTCGAGATCATGTCAGGATGGCTTGATTTCTGCGGGCGCGCACTCTCTGAGCATCCCCATCAGCGCAATCGCTGTCATCGTCCGCAGCGTCATCGTTGCCATCGTCTGGATCATCTGTGCCACAAGTTCCAGTCGGCAACCGTAATCGCAGCCGAACGGGTTTCGCGAAAGAAATTGCGGGGTGGAGGGTGGGATGATTGCGCGAGCATTGGAGCAGGCGACTGTATAAATCTGATGGGTGCATTGCACTACGTAATTTCCACCATATCACTTCCAACGTGTAGCTTGTACCCCGTAGCTTCCACATAGATTACACCACAGAGCTTCTGACAAGCTGCGTCCACCGTGTAGCTTGCACCGCGTAGCGTAAATCACACCAAAAGTAGACAAGCTCATTGGTTGGAGCCCACCCTGGCGACCATCGTATGACCATATTCCGTCCCCCATGCAGCTATCTAGACCGGTCATACAAGACCATGTGACTACGCAATGTATGCTTCGCGCAGCTCTTCGACAACGGAACAGCCTTTGGAAGCCCAGCGGCTCAAACCAGGCGGCATTCATCACTCGGGGTATCAAGCCCCGAGTACCAGCCCCAAGCGGGGTTGAACCAGGGGGAGGGGAAAGGGGACAGCCAAACGTCTCACGCGGTTTCTCACCGCCGCCGAGCGGAGGTAGCGTGCTACGTGCACCGACGAGGTCATCGCGACGGTGACGAGAGCAGACTGCTCATCCGCTCCCGCGCCCGCTCCCGTCACTGCCCCCGCCGGGAGTGCGGGCGGGGCGGGCGGGGGCGCTGCTGCCGTCGGCGACCCCCACTTGCAGAACGTCCACGGTGAGCGGTTCGACCTGATGAAGGACTGAGGAGGAAAAGAGGTGCCCGTACCACTACGCTTCCCTCGTTTCCGCCCTTTGGGGGGCCTCCTGGCAGGTCCTCGTCGCCTCCGCTGGAGTCGCCTCGAGGGCTCCTGGTCAGGGCGCACCCAGGGAGAGGTCCGGGGAGCAGCGGTATCGGCAGCTTCTGGCATCACGGGAAGGAGGGCCAGCACGTTCTGATCAACATTCCCCGTGGAGCGAGCGCCCAGAAGGCCCTGCTCCGCGTGCAGGCCAGCGCGCGTCGCCTGGGTGGGCACTGCGCGGACATCTATTTCCAGGAGCTGAACGTCACAGGGTCCTGGGCAGAGGCGAAACAGGCTGGGGGGTATCGTTACAGCGCATCGCAGGCAGACAGCGAGACTCCAGAATGGGTTGCCTTTGGCAACGTTGACCTGAAAGTCGTCCGTGGACTCACGGACAGCGGCGTTCGCTACTTGAACGTGTACGCGAAGCATTTGGGCCGATCAGGGTTTGTCGTGGGCGGCTTACTGGGAGAAGACGACCACGCCGACGTCATCACTCCCCCGGAGGCGTGTGCAAAGCATTTGGCTCTGGTGGACAACCTGGAAGGAGACTTCAGGGCCCCCGCTGTGCGGTCAGAGGCAGTCGCGAGCCTCGCGTGACCATGCCCGCATGTTTCTTGTTGCGAGCCTCCGCGCGGAGTGGGGATGAAGGGATGAGGAGGAGCGGGGCGTGCAGCGGGGAGGAGGCGAGGGGGCCAGGGAGGAGCCTGGGGACGAGGGAAGGGGGAAGGAGCAAGGAGGGGCGCAACCGCTTCTCTTCCGCCAGACGAAGCTTCACCTTTCTCAGGGCTGGTGGCAGTCCCCTTCTGCAGGCGAAGCCGAAGCGCGCAGTGGCCGTGCTTCCTTCGCACTATACATTATGTGTTTCTGTTCTGGTCGTATAGCCGAAGGAAATGTTACGCTGCTGCGTCGGGTATTCGCTCATGCGCGTGGCATTCGGCTTCGGCGTGTCTTCCCGGCCCGCGCACCTGTCCGGCAGACTGCGGCAAGTCCCGCGACCGCGTCGGCGCCGCCTTCTGCGTGGCGACGGCTCGAGCACCGAAGGCCGTCGAACGTGCCACCGCTCGTTTCTATCCGGCCGCCTCTGGCAAGGCACGGCGCGCACTTGCCGCGGGGCTGTTCTGGGACGCAGCGGATCTGGGCCAGCGCCACGGGCGCGAAGGTCCGCGGAATTCGCGCGCGGCGCGGCCTGGGCCAGGACGGCTGCTCTTCCCGAGCGAGGGGGCGACGCGAGGGCGCGAGGGCGAGAAGAGATGGCTGCGCGCCGGGGGGGGCGCGATGCGCGAAGGATGGGGTTCGAAGGAGCAAAAACGCCATAAACACAAACTTTTGGCGGCGGATTGCTCGGATCCGCGCTGGGCCCGGCAGGAGAGCCCCAAAGCGGCCCACGAGGGCCCTCAGACGGCCCCCGAAGCCACCCCCCAGACGGCCCAACAAGCCCCCAAGTTGGCCCCAAGAGGGGCCCACGAACTGTAAGACTGCCCTTGCTGCTACCTCGGCACCCCAAGACAGACCGAAGAGCACCCTGACAGGCCTCCGAATGGGCTCAGCGCTCACGTCCTCTCTGACTTCCGACCGCCTACGACAGCACAAGAGGCCCCCAAGATCGCCCCAAGAGGCCGCCAGGAGAGCCCCAAGGCGGCCCACGAGGGCCGCAAGACGGGACGGCCCGAAAGGCCCCCCCCGATGACCCAACAAGACCCAAAGCTAGATCAGATCGCCCTGGATGCTTGGGCGGCGCAGGAGCGAGGAAGCAGGGCTCTCGGACGAACCGCATGGTTTCCTGGGGGCTTCCTGGGGGTCGCCTCCGATCAGTCAGGGCCACCTCGGGCCCTCGGGGGTACACTACATTGGGGACACGTCGGGGCCTGCCCCCCGATGATGCACCCCGCTGGTGGGTCGAGCTCCCCTGGGCCTCTCCCGGGGTGTTCTTGGGAGCCTTCGGAGCCCTCTCTTGGAGCTCGTGAGGCTGCACCGGGCGATCGCGGAGCCACCCCGAGGCTTGAGAAGCCCCTCGGAGAGAAAACCACGAATAGGCCCACGGGCGGGCACTGGCCGAAGCTCGGGCGCACCGGCCCAGCCCAGGAGGGGCGCCCACCAACCAGGCACCAGACGAGCCCCCAGCACACCACGCCAGCCCCGCAGGGAGCCTGAGAATGGCACAGATGGGTGCTGGTACGGTGTGGGGAAGCGGGTGCTGGCGCCGTACCAGGCAGCCGACGAGCAAGAGGCGGCCTGGCACTCCACGGCCGTGGAGGCGCGATGGCGGAGACATCTGTGTACATAGATGTGCACATATATATATATATATATATATATATATATATATATATATATATATATATATATATATATATGCTCGGTCCCCCCCCCAGCGACCCCCCAAAACGCCCAAAACACGAAGCCGCGGTCTTGAGATGCTGGCACCGAACAGCCGCAGACACATGGTCTGTCACAGCGGGCTGTGACCCGAGAAGTATTCCTCCTCATCTTACTCTCCCTCATCCTCCCCCTCCTCTTCCATCTCCCCCCTCGCCTCTGCTTCTACTAGAACCAGAGCCAGGACCAGAACCAGAGCCAGAACCAGAACCAAAGCCAGAACCAGAACCAGAACCAGAGCCAGAACCAGAGCCAGAACCAGAACCAGAACCAGAGCCAGAACCAGAACCAGAACCAGAGCCAGAACCAGAGCCAGAACCAGAACCAGAACCAGAACCAGAGCCTTGCTCGGAGGCCACGAAACACTGTGTATCACAGGTTTTTCTGGTTTTTCTGGTCTGGGAACCAACGAAACATTGTATATCACAGGTTTTTCTGGTTTTTCTGGTTTTCAGGCGCCGACAAACAGGAGGTGGGGGAGCGGTGGGGCGAGGCCGCGGCGAGCATTTCAGCTCCAGAAACCAGAAAAACCATAAAAACATGTGATACGCAGTGTTTCGTTGGTTCCCAGACCAGAAAAACCAGAAAAACCTGTGATACACAGTGTTTCGTGGCCTCGGCCGAAACCGATATGCTTGCGCGCACGGTGCCCGTGACGGATGGGCCGAGCGGATGAGTTCGTCAGCCTGGATGGCAGGCCAAAGTTGAGTTGTGCATTCGTGCTTTGGGCGCCAGGGGCGAGGATTTGTGGCTGGCAACAGGGAAGATGCTGGAGGAGGCCTTCCTCAAGGAGCACTGCCAGTGAGCGGCGAGCGCTGTAGTCCCCGAAGAGTACACAGTGTTTTCTTGCTCGGAGGCCACGAAACACTCTGCATCACAGGTTTTTCTGGTTGTTCTAGTCTGGGAACCAACGAAACATTGTACATCACAGGTTTTTCTGGTTTTTCTTGTTTTCGGGTGCCGACAAACAGGAGGCGGGGGAGCGGTGGGGCGAGGCCGCGGCGAGCATTTCAGCTCCAGAAACCAGAAAAACCAGAAAAACTTGTGATACGCAGTGTTTCGTTGGTTCCCAGACCAGAAAAACCAGAAAAACCTGTGATACACTGTGTTTCGTGGCCTCGGCCGAAACCGATATGCTTGCGCGCGCGGTGCCCGTGACGGATGGGCCGAGCGGATGAGTTCGTCAGCCTGGATGGCAGGCCAAAGTTGAGTTGTGTATTCGTGTTTTGGGCGCTCTGGGGGGTCGCTGGGGGGGGGGGGGGGGGGGGGGGGGGTCGACCATATAATATATATAATATATAATATATATATATTATATATATATATATATATATATATATATATATATATATATATCAAGCCGCAGCCCCTGTTGGCCGAACCTCCCACTCTTCTATCAAAAATTTACCTGGCACAAAACAACAAGCTTCACCCGAGCGTCCTCAGCTTCTCCTGCCGAGCCATGGGGTTTGGACGTGCGGGCGTCGTGGCGGCGCTGGCGAGCTCCGCGGTTTCTCTCGCGGTGCACAATGATCAGGCTGGCACAGCCAGCGGGGCCACGCGGGGGAATGAGACCAGGTCGACGCAGTTCATCAAAGCCACCATGGTGTTTGGACTGAACTGTGGCTACGCAACCCTGGCTGGCGTGAACTTTCTGTCGTCGGGCGGAGCCAGCATCGACATCAAGCTGGCCAACTACCAGGACGACCATCGCGGCTCGGCATGGGGAGCCTGCACCCTGGTGGGCGGCAACTCGAATTGCTGGTGGGAGGGCTACGGGTCGGTGGCCCCAGTGTACACGGTGCACGACCCCCTGACCTCCAGAGACGCAAGGTTCATGGACTGCGTTGGCCCCGAGCCCTCGCCCATGGAGATTCGGACCCTCACGGTGCAAGGGCAGCAGCACCCTTGTCAGTGCACTGGCGGCTACTACAAGGGATACCCGTGCCAGGCTTCCAATGCTGCGGGTAACCAGTGCCATTGGTTCATCTTTGAAGTGGAGGGGGGTGACACCGTGGCGAGCGTCGACGTGACCGCGAACGGTTGCGGCTACAACTCGGGGCTGAACTACGCGGAGTTCACCCCGTGCTCGTCAGCTGACGTTATTCAATCGCTTCGCTCATTCCGCCGGCCCTCGAGCGCTCTATGGGGCCTCTTTGAAGCCTCTTTGGGGCCTCCTAGGGGTCTCTTAGGGGCCTCTTGGGGGTCTACTGGGGCTCCTTAGCGGCGTCTTGGGGCCCCCTTGGGCCTCTTGGGGCGCTCTTGGGAGCTTCTTGGGGCGGGGTAGTCGAGTGCACCCCCCTCGGAGGCCACGATCCTCGTGAGGGGTGTCGAAAAAAGGCCCTCAAAACCATCACTGGGTAGACTTGGTCGGGCTGTGGTCGGGATATTTTTCGCCGGGGGACCCCCAGGGGCCGCCCCGCGCGCGCGAACTAGAAATATTGTTAACCAGTTACCGGAGATCTTAGCACGCCTCTGGCCCGTTGGGCCGGCGAATTCGAGGGGTTCACGTCATCCCGCCGGCCCCCGAAGGAAAGGCCCATCGGGTGACCAATGCAGGGGACGGCGCAGGAGGAGAAGGGGGAAGAAAAGAGAGGCAGGAGGCGTGAGGGAGCGTTGGAGGTGATCGAAGGTGGAGTAGGGGAAGCCAGCAAGCATGGCGCACGCATTGGTTGATGCATGGTCATTCAGAAGACCAGTTCAGCCTTCGACGCGGAATTCGCTGCAATCCTCCAGTCGAGGTTCAAAGCCACAGTGGTGTGCGCGTAGCCCGGTACCTGTCTTGAAACGTTATCTGGGATTTCGTGGGCCTTCTTGGGTCCATCATGGGCGTTCCTGGAGCTCTCCTGCGGCCTTTGGGGGCCAGCCTGGTGTCATTGGGGGCTTCTGTCGGCTGTCTCGGAAGGTCCTGGGGCCGTCTGGGGGAGCCTTGGGCCGTCTTGGGCTGGTCCTGGGTCGTCTTGGAGAGCCGTTTTGGGGGGCAGCTTGGGAGAACAGCGGGGGCGTCTTGGGACCATCCTTGGGACATCTTGGGCGCTGTTCGGGTCGTCGCGGAATCCCAAGCAGGTTTCTTGGATTTCCCCCAAGGCATCCGGGGCTTGCCTTGGCCACACGCTGCAACGAAAGCCGGGGCATGCAGAAGCCGCGCGAAAAGGAATGTGATTTCCATATGTTGTTGCTCTTGGGGTTACCCCCTCAGGGCTATGCTGGAGCCTCTGATGGGATCAAGGGGCGATCTTTGTGCCATCTCAAAGTCTCTTCAAGCCATCCTGCAGCCAACTTTGGATACCCTGGTCCACCTTGAGGCTACTATTGTCCCCCGCCCCACAGCTTGGGGCTGCTAGGTTTGAAGGGCATACCTCCCGACCCGCCCTCCCTGCATACCGCGGCCGCCAGATCCCCAGGTCCACGGGTGGTCCCGCGGGGATCCTTTTCTGGGCCGCCACCTACCGCGGCCACCAGATCCCCAGAACCACTGGGAATCCCGCGGGGGTCCTCTTCTGGGCCGGCACCTAATAAAACAAAGCAGGCCGGAACAGAAGGGAACATGATTAGAACAGAACGTTGCAGAATTGAACATAGCCGGGTAAATCCAATCGTGTACAAGAAAACAGACAGGAACAATTGAGCGCATAGTACCTATACGACCACCCTGCGGCTGATAAGGAAGTTGGGGGGGCCAGCAATGGGCAACAGTGGTGAATGTTGTTGTGACAATGCCAGTGGAGATAGTTGCGTTGCCGTTCGCTCTTGGGGGCGTTGGTGTCGAGTTGTTTACGTCACCCTTCCCCTGGGAACCTGCCCAACCTGCGCAACGGCAGCTAACGGCGCCATTTGGCCACAGAAGACTGAAACGCTGGCAAAGTTTGGCGCAGCCCGCGCCGCCTCTTGCACTATCGATCTCTCTATCGGTCTCACTCAATCGAACTCATTCGATCAATCTCACCATCGATCTCACAATCGATCTCATCATCGATCTCTCTCGGCCGGTCTCACTATCGATCTCACCGGCGATCTCACAATCGATCTCACTATCGATATCACTATCGGTTCCCCTAACGATCTCCCTTTCGATCTCACTCGATCGATCTCACTGTGGACATCACCGTCGATCTCACACACGATCCCACCATGCCGCTCGACACACATGCCGCTCGACACACATGCCGCTCTCTCCGTGTCTCCGCCCATGCCAGTCGACACGAAGACTCTTTGCGCAAAATCGGCAGCACGGCTGGCCCGCCCACTGTCAACGGCGAGCTGAACTGAAAAACTGATGGTGAGGATTCGGCAGCCCGGCCGGCCCACTAATCATCATCATGTTCATCATCATCATCGGCGTCACCATTAACATCAGCACCATCATCATCATCATCATCGCCTTCATCATCATCAGCATCATCATCATCAACGTCGTCATCATCATCATCACAATCGTCATCACCATTATGGTCATCACCACCATCAGCATCGCACAATCGATCTCACATTCGGTCTCACTATCGATACCACAATCGATCCCACAATCGACGTCAGCACCATCATCATGATCATCATCATCATCATCAACGACACCAACATCATCGTCATCATCATCGCCATCATCAACATCATCATCAGCATTACCATCATCATCATCACCATCATCATCATCATAATCATCCACGTCATCATCGGGACACCGACGGGACACCGAAAGGACACCAGCGGGACACCGGCGGGACACCGCGCGGCACCGGCCGCCCGGTCAAGGTTCTTGCGCCCCGGCCGCGCCTCGGCCACACGGGACACCAGCGGGACACCGGCGGGACACTGCGGGGCACCGGCCGCCCGGTCAAGGTTTTTTTGCCCCGGCCGCGCCTCAGCCACAGGAGGTTCTCTCTCGCCCGCCCACGCAGCATCGCTTCGCCCGCGCGGCACGCACGAACACGAAACCGAAATCGATTTCCCGGTAGGGGGGCTCTCCGTCCCACTTCGATCTCACCCCCCAACCACCGATAATAAAACGCAATAGTACGCAACATAACGCAAACTAGCATAACAACAGGTAGCGGCTAGATCATAATATAGTTGCGTAGTGTAGCACTTGAGAAGCCACAGCAAAACATAACTCACGCACGTAGCATAAGAGAACATATCACTAGATACGATATGTATATACAAGTGGAAAACATAGATACATATAGACATATACATATATATATGTCTGGAAATCATCACAACATAACGCGTCGCGATCTAATGTATACGCCAGCACCGAAAGGGCTAAGAAATTGCAAAACATTATTGACGACGCATCACACGCGACAGGCGTCACGATGTCACGACGGCCCGTCGAGAAAAGAGCATGGCATAACGCATAAATCAATCGGGCAGAATGGAACATAACAGAATACAGTATAATCCAATAGTTAAATGAGCAGATCCTGATGCGACAGCAAGCGCTTCGCGTCCACCCTTTATCACATTCCAGTCGTTACGACGCGACGCTGACCCCGCATTCGGTGGGGATCGCTCGACACAGGGTTTTGGTTGGCGGGTGCGTGGGGAGGCCGCGAGCCATTGTGGAGAAGCCATTGGGCCCCGGATGTGTTGTAACGAGCTCGTCCTGCTCCCCCCTCGAGACCCTGGGCGAGGGTGTTCCCAGCAGGGGCATAAGCAGAAAATGCGCACCATGCACTTCTTCTACACGAGGCTTGGCGCCATCGTCATTGCCGTACCAGATATGTCCACGATTCCCCAAGCAGTGGTCGCACGAAGGGGCTCCCACCACCGTTGCAAGGAATCGGTTGGAAGTTTTTTTGGGGACGCAACCTTCTGCGCGGAGCACACCGAAAACGGGTCGCGGACGCCTCCGCGCTGTTGGAGGTTTTGGGGGCGCTCGAAAACGCGCAAGTCGCGCTGCACCTCCCTGCTGGCCATGAACGACGCTGTCCGGGCCTGCCTAGAGCAACTGAGCGGCTGGTCACCCTCTGACGGCTCCTGGCGGCAGGCTCAGCTCAAGCTCAACAGGGTAGGGTTCGGCCTGCGCTCTGCTGCAAAGCACGCTGCCGCCGTTTACGTCGCCTCCCGAACGAAAAGCACGGACCTCTGTCGGCAGCTCTACCCTGGTTATTCTAACAACGCCGACCGCGACGCGGGTTACCTGGCAGCTGCGGCGCAGGCCCACAACGCAGTCGTGCGGGACGCCGACAGGGTGGAGTTTGACCCGTCGCGGCACGGCAACCAGAAAGCCTTCTCCGACGCTGTGGACGACGCCGAACTCGACGTGCTTGTGGAGGGCGCAACTCTGGCCAGCAAGGCGCACCGATCCCTGGTGCAGGCCCCAGGCGCCGCCGCGTGGCTCCAGGCGCCGCCCTGCGAGGCTACTGGCACAGCCTTCCCGCACAGCCGCATGCAAGTCGGGTTACAGAGGCGCCTGCGGGTCCAGCTCCTGCAGGAGTGTTTTTGCCCGGCCAGTGGAGAGGCGATGGACCTTTTCGGCGACCACGCCCTGGTCTGCGCCTGTGGGCGACAACGGCCGCCGCCCCGCCGACGTCTACCTGCCACGATGGCGCAACGGCACGGCGGCCGCCTGGGACTTTGCCGCCACGTCCGGGTTGCGCGCCGTTCACCTCGCCGCGTCGGCCGCCTCATCGAACGCGCCGACGGACAGGCACGAGGAGTTCAAAAGGCTGCAGTTGGACACCGCGCGGCTGTGCGCGGAGCAGGGCTTCACCTTCCTCCCCATGGCGGTGGAAGCCCACGGCGGCGGGTGGGGCCGCGAGGCGCGCAGGGCCTTCGGGGTCCTGGCCAAGCGGGTGGCTGACGCCACGGGGGAAGACGCGGCAATTGTAGCAGACCGACACGTCCAGCGACTCTCCATCTCCCTGCACAGGAAGAACGCGCGGGCGGTGTTGCGGCGCCTCCAGATCCAGTCTGGAGGGGCGGGGGTGGCTGCGGCCCGCGCTGCCGCTGCCACAGCTGTTTCCACGGCTGACGCCGTGTGAGCCGCCACGATGGCGCAGCCTAGCGCCCCCCGCCCTCCCCCCCCCACCTGGTTGGGCAGCGCGGGCGCCCCCCCCGCGCCCCTCCGTGGGTGGCGTGCTGGCGCCCCCCCAC